CATGGTACATGATGACATCTAGCCTCCCCGAACGCGATACCTCCCTCCCCCACCCCCCGCCCCCTACCCCCCCATGTTGCTCTCGTTGTTGTTGTTGTTTGTCAGTTGTCCGCAGTTGCTGCCTTTCTTGGTAGAACCGCCGCTCCTGGTACTCCGAATTGCTTGTGTTCCCCCGGCGATCAATCGGGGATATCCAGGCGTCCGAGAGACGGGGGGGAGGAGGAAGGTGGAGGGGGAGGGTTAGGGGGGGTGAATGCATGGCGTCGGCCGCTGAACAACACGCAGCGCAGGAAAAGGTGGCGAAGACTCTCGCTCGCCAGATGGAAGGGCAGCTAGCGGAGGTGAGCGAGACCGAGAGAGAGAGAGAGAGAGAGAGAGATGCGCCTGGTCGTCTGGAACACCCGTTTCTCACCTTACCCCCCCGACAAAAACATCTATCACCGGGCGGGACATTCCCAGCATAGAATCAATCGAAGGCGGTTCATCCCGGCAAGGTTGTGGCTGTTGCCGTTGCCATTTTCGTTGTCGTGATTGCCGAGACCGTGGGTACCGACAAAAGTGTGTCGGTGTGTCGTGTCCGGGGGGGATCCTTTCGCCTCCACTCGAAAACAACACACAAACACGCCGTGGCCCCGGGCGTCCCGCAATCGACCGGTTTGGTTTTGGGGGGGAAGGTTGTTCGATCGCCAGCTCGAAGAGAAGATTCTTGCAGAATTCTTGTGAAGCGAGTAACACAGCGACCAGTAGTTTGAGGTGTCATCGTCCGCAGAAGATGTATCTACAGTGCAAGACGTATTTCCAGTTCGAAATAACCCCAAAAGGTGGCCGGTTCGAGATAAGCTTAAGTAGCCGGTTTGAGATACAAGGGGTCATGTTACACCCTTCACAGCGGTAGGGACACCTGCCGGAGGCTGGACTTTGTTGAGTCTGTTAAGTCGTACCCCTGAGAGACCAGTATATCAGCCGAGAAAAAACAAGCGTTCGTACAGTGCAACGCTTTGAATTTATTTCTACTCTATCCCAGGCTCTTGTCTGGGGAAGAGATGGATTTTGTTGTGTTTTGCAAGAAAAATACCTTCCAAAACACCCCCAGCAAGTATTGGCAGCAGAGCATATGGCACTGCGGTAGCAGTTAGAGGCGCCCCGCATTTCGGAATAGAACCAAGACATACCTCAGTTGTTGGCCTCTCTTGTCACCGAACTGGTGCATCAAGCTGTTGGTGTTGTTCGCCCTCTTGTTCACCCGGCGAACTGGTGCGTCAAGCTTCTTTTGTTTGTCTTGTTCGCCCTCTTCTTCGCCCCGCACTTCCGCCCGACTGGGCGAGGCTTCCGGTTGCGATCCCCCAAGAATTTTTTCTTCTTTACCCTCCCCCACCAGTTTGACCCGAGCCTTTGTTGTTGCGTGGGTGGGGGCGGCGGCGACTTGCCACTTAGGGTCGGCATCAGTTGTGCGGAACGCGACCTTGTTCGGTGTACCTGTGTCCTCTCTCAAACGGCGTGCGCCCCACGAGTGCTAGACCTCGTCGTCAGTGTGTAATCGTTTTCTCCCCCGCCCCCCCCCCGGTGTTTGCCATGGGGGTTCGGGTTTTCGTCGCTTGGCAACGACGTTGTAAAACAAGCCGCCCCCCCGGCGCCCCCCGGTGTTTGCCTTCGGGGTTGGGTTTTCGTCGCTTGGCAACGACGTTGTAAAACAAGTCATTTAACTTCGTGAACTCGGCAACCAGGTTACCGTTTTTTTTTTTTACCTCTGTTTTTTTTTTGGCGGTAACCATAACGGTGGTCGAGTAGATCATGTTGTGCGGGGTCGAGGGCCCTCACTCCGCGCAAGGGGGATGATCGCACCACGTTGTGTTAAAATGGTCAAGCATCCTCGAGGCAGTTACACAGTGCTTATAACTGTTTCTGGAAGCGAAAGCACCAGAAAATGTATTAAGTCATACGCAGCTGTCATCCGTACGCAAGGAAGTAAGCACAAGATGCCGAACACCCTTGGCAGGATGCAGCGCACCCTTCATGCGACTCGCCGAATACCTCACGGCGCTTCGCGCTTGGTGACGTGAGAGCCTGGTCCGGTGAGAACCCGGCGTGCTCCGTCCCGGCTTTGTAGGGATGCGAGGTCAATGGTCTAACGACTACGGCATGCACGACTATGAGTACCCCCCCCCCCCCGTTTTTTTAGCCACCTTTGGCAAAGTAGGAAGGAGTGATTGGCCATCGGTAATCGTTCCTGTGAGAACAATGCTCAGTCCTCTCGAGGACGACGCGTGGTCAATGGTCTATTATTAGGCTGCAAAACAGTACAGTAGTATGCCCCCCCCTCCCCCCCCCCCCCTCCTTCCTTACCGGCAACCAAACTGTCTACAGTTCTGTGTCCCTTGCTACAAGCACATGATCAGGACGAAAATTTTCCTTCTATGAAGCCCACAAGGGTTGATTGCTTCATTGTTTTGGATTTGACGAACGATGCGCTACTCCGCCGTCCCGCTCTCCCGGCGACCCTCGGTCTCGTGTTTTTCTGCACCCGAAAAAATAACAGCCTCGGGCGATGCAAACCCCTCAGGCGGGTCCTCGCGACCAGCAGCAAGGGCTGTTTCTCCAGCCCCCTGGGGGAGTTGTCCCTGCGCCAATCCCAAACCACCTTCAGCAGCAACCACAGCACCAGCAGCAGCAGCCCCAGTCGCAGTCGCAGCCGCCCCCGCAGCAGCAGCAGCAACAACAACCGGCGGGGCAGGGAGGCGTGCCTGGACAAGGGGCACGGGAGACGGGAGCGGAGACAGGATCCGGGCAGAAGAAGACGGCGGGGGCTAGGAACGGGGGGGGCACGGGGAAGGGCTCGGTCGGGGGGGAATCCGACTTGGACAGCGACGATGACCCAAACGAAGGTGAGGATCTTTTCTCTCTCTCTCTCGTGTGTAGATGGGAGTTGAAACGCTTAGTAGCTTTCTTATATTCTCTATCTCGCATGTAGAATGGGAGTTGATACGCTTTGGCAGCTTCCTTATATTCTCTCTCTCATGTGTAGAATGGCACTTGGATAAGAGCTGTCTTTGTTCCGTAGAAACATACCCATGCTTTCCAAGTGCCCATGGTCTTGTTGAAGTTTTGGGATTTTTTCGCGACGCAGCAGGTATGCACATGCTAGCGGCAGCAACACCTGCAGCAGCGGCTTCAATTTGCCTGTTGGAGAATGGTGTTGCGAAACGCGACGAGCCGCTGGCTACGTTTTTTGTGTCTAGCACTCTCTCTGCCAGTCTTGCTGGGGAGAACGAGAGGCACCGGGTGTGACGCTGTTCTGTTCCATTGCCAACGCGGGCACGTCGAAGACGCTGACCCCACGTTTTTCATCCCCTTTCTCCTCCACCTCTGTACACGTACAGCGGTACCTGCGACCAAATTTTAGCGCCTTGGAATTCAGAAACTCAGGCTCGAAACGAGGTATCGTAGATAGTATGATATGTTGGACCTCAACAATGGGGACGTAGGTGGGGTCCTAAAACTAAAAGATACCTTGGTACTTAACACCACATGCGAACACAAGAAACGAGTCTCGTCCGACATACTTGTGAGAAGTGTTTTGTGGCGACGCGTATTTTTTTTTTATTTTTTTATATTTTTTGTTCTTCACTTGAAATCAGTGTTCACAGCACTCGTGCGGTTGCCTCCTACCCGTGGTCACACAGAAGGGCCGCTCTCTACCCTCCCCTTCTGCGGTACGTTGCCTGCGATTCTTAATGCGAGAAGAGTTCAGCACTCTCTTCCCTCTGTGTACACACGAACTATTTAGCGCCAATCCACTAGGCCAGGAGCGGAAGCGAGAGAAAAGCTCACTTTGCAAGAAAAGCTCGCTTACGCCGGTATTCGAACCCCTGACCTGACCTCTAGAAGGTTTCGAGGATACCAACTAGACCACCGGGGCGACCGGCACTGGTCCGCTGTATCGTATTTTCTTCCTGACATCCTTCATTTGATTTCATGTCTCTACGTATTTTCTTCCTGACATCCTTCATTTGATTTCATGTCTCTTATGTTTTTTCCGGTGGGACAGATCCCGAGGCACGGAAAGCCCGCAAGAAGATCCGGCGAGCGTGTGACTACTGCACTCAGAAGAAGGTGACGATTTTTTTTATTTTATATTTAAGAGCGGGTTTGGTGCAGAAGCAATGGCCCCCCTAATGATCATGGCAGTCGGCAACGCGAGGGTTCGAATTTGTCGGAACATGAGAACTTCACAATATACATGAGAACTTGAACCCATGTACAAACTACCAGATTGTAGCAGGTGTTGATAGCTCACAGAGGAAGCACGAGCCCCCGGGTTGCGCAACAGTACATGCCATGTTCTTGAGCGCGGGCGCTCTCTGCGTGCTAGAAACAAAGAGAAAGCAGCAAAAAAATCAGAGGGAGACATTGATGCTGCTGCTGCTGCGTATGCCCCTGTTTTTGCTGCATGTGTTGCTGCTGCTTCTGCTGTTGCATCGGTTACTGTCGCTGATGCAGTTGTTGCTGTTGCTGCTGCTGCTGCCCTTTTTGATGCAGGTTAAATGCGACGGGACTCCGCCCTGCCGACAATGTCAGAGGAGACAGATAGAGTGCACCTTCAGCCCGTGCGCCCGTTCCGGCCCAAGGTCAGCTTGGTTGGTAGATTGACACGTGATCAGTGCTCTTCCTCGATGTACTTACTTCTGGGTAGGGTAGAGTGCGAGCCCGAGAGGGTTTCAAGCACCAGACCTAAGTGCTGTTTTGAAACTTCAACAACGAGGCCCACGAGGCGTCCCGTTGCGACTAGAATGTCCAAGTTGGCAGTTTTTCAGAATAGGCGCGCTTGCCACGCCACAAATGCTGTTTCTCTACCTCCCCCCCCCCGCGTCGGGAAGAGACGCAAAGAAGCTGACATGGCAGTATCGCATGTGCGGGATGGGAGAGGAGAGGTTGCCGAGAATAGTATGGGAGGCGAAGTGGGCAAACAAAAAGAGGGGTAGACAACCCACGGAATGGGTCAAGGTTGTAGAGGACGTATGGAAGGGGTTACACATCGACGAAGATGAAACGCTGGAAACGGAGGGCCTACAGGGGTTCAAGGAGAAGATATCTGTTGCTTGTGCCGAGAGAGAAGAACGGAATCTAAGGAAAGAAACCAAGGATAAGGAGGGCCTAGAAGTGTACGGAATGTTGAAAGAAGGAATAGGGTTCAAGGACTACCTACATGGACCAATGGATGCAGGGACAAAGCTTAAGGTCAAATTCAGGACCGGGGACATAGGCCTTCGAGAACGTCAACGAAGACATAGGACGGTAGACGACGAAGACGACAAGTTCAAATGTGATTGCGGCTTCGAGTGCGAAGACCGTGTCCATGTAGTCGCGGAATGTCCGTGGTACGAAGAGGAGAGGGAAGTGTACATGACCGAGCTGGGAAAAATACAAGGGAGGTACAGGGAGATGTTTGAGGCATGGAATAGAGAGGAGAGGACGGTAGCTGTACTGGGGAGCAGGAAGTGGTTTGAAAAGGCGGGAAGGGATATCGTTAGGATAGACAGACTAGGGAAGACATTTTTGAGCCACCTTTGGCAAAGTAGGAAGGAACGGTTGGCCATCGGTGATCGGTCCTGTGGGAACAATGCTCCGTCCTCTCGAGGACGCGTGGTCAATGGTCTAACCGCTAAGACATGCAAAACATAAGAGTACGCCCCCCCCCCCCCCCACCCCCCCCCCACTTTTTCCTGTCTCTATTGCCCTGGGGCTT